TTAGAGACACTACTATTTACGTTTAACATTTTTTAAAGCTTTCAGGCTACAGAACTGTTAATCACTTGTATGATCAAATTAATTGTAAAATAAACATTTCAGAGTAGACTCCATTACATTATTGTTATCTTCATGAAGATACTATACTTTGTTAAGACTTAAAAAAAAGCCTTTATTAAACTGAAATCTAAAAGTCAGGGTTTTCCATTCAATATAAGAAAAGTATTTATTAGAGTGGTATTAGTCGGACTCTTTTGTTTCCTTCAATTAACATTCCGATTCTACCGACCCTCTGGCGAGTCTATATGGTGAATTAAAAAGTGGAATAAAGTCGACCGGGTCATGCCAAACACATCAAATTCACATCAGCGAATTTAGGAATTACTGGAAGTACGAGGAAAAGCCAAAGGAGCCACACGCACATTTGCCCCAAAGGGAACTGGTTCGTACAAAGTATGGACTAAAGGTACGGTCTGTCTGCGTATCCAGTCCTGCCAGGAGGAGGAAAAAAACGCAGTATGTTATATTTACACATTGCAGGTATTTACGAGAGAGAGGGGGAGAGGAAGTGAGTGTGGGTTTGTTCAGACGAGGAGGAGGGACGAAATTCTGGAATGGAAGAGAAGAGGAATATGCTTTAGAGCCTCTCTACACCGAAAAACGATGGATAAGTGCAAAAGAGCAGAGAAAGAAAGAGAGGAAGAGGTGGGCTTCGGAATGGGTGAAAATTATGCGAAGGAAAAGGGATTACGAGTGGGATAAACAGACGCGCAGATGAGGGAGAGGATAAATATTCACGAGAGCGAGAGGAAATACTTTTGCGGCTACCGAGCACTGAAATTTTCTACTCTGTTGCTGAATTTTCTTTTGAGATTGATCAACGAAGGTTTGAAGTTTCCCAAAATAATTATCGGCTGCATTTTGGATACTACAAAGTAACTGACCACGCTGATTACGGGAAAAATTGTAGAAAAGCTGTAAATTTAAGACTTTATTGCAAAGATAACGTATTTTCACGCCAAAAGAAGCTCATTTGTCAATTAACAACGTAATTAATGAAGAACGAAAGGCCTCTAGCGCTGTAAGTTATGTGCTTAAAAGCACTGGTTTATTAATTAATAATATTATTGACTAAAAAATGGAAGGCCTGTAGTGCACTGAATTGTGTAGTTGATTTCTCTTATGTAATTATCAACAATGTTATTTTTTTTAAACTGAAGGTTACTAGCCCACTACATTATGGAGTTATAGGTGCTTGTCTTAAAATTAATAATTATGTTTATATACAAAAAAGTTTCAAATAAATATTTTTTTTATAAACTAGTAATAAAATTCTTACATAAAAACTCTGTAGTTGGGTCAGTGATTTTTTGAAGAATCCTCATATCGGCTAACTTAAAGTAAAATTTTTTTTAGCTCACAAGAATGTTATGGTTATGATGAGCAACAACAAACATTCACTGTACGTAAGCACAAAACTCTTTCTCGTCAGTTGAGTTATTAGACGGTCATTCAGATCACTGACGATCAGACAAGAAAACGGTCGCAGTGAAGGTATAAAGTCACGCTTTATAAGTATTTACATCATAAATTAATTACATTGTCAATTAATAAACGAGGGCTTTTCACCACAGACAACAGCACAACGTAACGAACTGCTTTCGTTCTCGAAATGAGCATTTTATTAAAAATTTTATTAAAATTAATGAAAATTTTACAAAAAGTCATCTTTGTAAAAAAGTCCTTAACTTAGAGCTTTTTTAATAGTTTTCCTGTGATCAGCGTGGTCAATTACGTTGTAATATCAGAAATGTAGCTGACCATTTTTTCGAAAACTTTGGACCTTCGTTTATTGGGCTTTACATTGGTATCATTGTGTTCTTGTATTTTATATATCTGTTATTTATAAGTATTTTTATTTCTTCGGTTTGTACACTTTAATACAAAAAAAAAAGTAAAACTTTGTTCACATATTATACGTGACGTGTAGTCAGAGATAGAGATAGTAGAGGTTGAAACGTGTCGGATCGAAGCAGGCGTTGCGCGTTCTATCGTTAGTATATAGTATCCAGTTGATCACGCAAGTGGGTCTGCGTTTGTTTTTCGTCTACTGGGGCTCACGACATTTTTTACGAAGATCAGCTCAGTGCTCCAGGTTACAGGTATTTTATTAATTTTTGCTAGCTTTCTTATGAAAGTCATAACATTTTTTTGTAATAATACTGTTTTAACAGTTGTTTTAATAAATGAATTTACTAACTTGTCACTTTTGGTACTTTTTTCTTTGTTTGGTGGTGAATTTTATTATATCATGCATGGAATTGAGGCGTTAAATTTATCACCTTTTCGACTAACTTGACCCAAAACCAGAAAAATTTGGTTGTCTCTAGACTCAATACATGAAATTGCATAATAAAATTTAGTTCGAAAAATTATTAGAGTGGAAATCATCTAAATAAATAATTGCTTAGAAATGGTAAAAAAAGCTCTGCATGACTTTTATTTAAAAATAAGTAAAAAAGATTCTTAGAATATCTTTTCTGATGCATAATTTTTTTTTGCTTTTTTTACGTTAACGTCTATTATTATCTTGTGATTTCATCACTTAGGAACTAATTTAACTTTTTATCACTTACTACTTTAATTATACTAGAACAGTGGTTGAGGATACAACGGATGTATCTCGTTTGATATGTTTATTCAAGCAGTAATAATATTATATGTAACGTCACAGCAATAATACCAACATGTATGCATAATGAATGTACGTAGGCTTTTTGGAATCATATAGCAAAAGAAAGTTATCATCAAAACGAAGGAGTATCTGCGTGAAAATAGATGTTAATAGTATAATCATATTTAGTAATGAACAGTTATAACTAAACAGTATTTTATTCCACAAAAACTTGAGTTGGCTATCAAGTCCTTACCAACCTATCAGGTAAAAAAATTTACGAATGTATTGGCAGAACAGTGTTCACTTTAATTTTTATTTTATTTTATTTTTTTACAAGTCTGTATACTGTGATTATAGAATAAACTGTCGATGAGCGCCTAAAAAAGGTAGGCTACATATACACTTATGAAATTTATTTTTGACATTACGCTTTAGAAATTTCATCATACCCATTTTAAAAAAGGGATGTTGTAAGTTTTTAATCGGAAGATTATCAGTACTTTTTTATTTTAATGCTCTCAAAAACGCAAATTGTACTTAGCACAAAAAAAAATTTACAAATGTCTTCATTGTACACATGCATGTGTATACATAACGATACACAATAAACACTTTTTATTTTATTTTTATGTGTTTATAAATATAAGCACATACTTGTAAAAAAATGATACTTGTTAAATTACTAGTATGTACAAGGTAGGCTACATATGAGATTTTTTAGTTGAATAATGCTTCAGATATTGTATCATATCTATTTAAAAAAAGAGATGATGTAAGTTTGAAATCAGAAAAATAGTTTTTAATTTTACCTTTATAATGCTTTATTCGTCAACTCATATACTCTACTGAGGTTTAATAAATTATGCTATTGCACTAAAGAGGTATTTATTGACAGAACTCCATTAAAATTTGTTCAATTAAGGACGTTCGGTAAAGATAGCGGGGGGGAACCACTTACGGGGCAAGGGGGAAGTAGCGATGAATGAAGACTTGGCATCGTCGCGCGGGTCTCCATATGTGCACTCTGCAGTGTCTGCAGTGTCTGCACTGTCTGCTGCGTCAGTTACGGCAGCGTATGTGTATATTTGTAATGTATTTGTGCTAATGATGTAAGTATTTGATTTTTATTCGTTATAACAATGTAATAAAAATGAGTAAATAATTAAAAAGACTTGTGACGGATATATGTACATACAATTAATTCGTAACTAATGTAAATAAAATTCTTGAATTCTTATGTGACTTGAAAAGTCTCATTGGAAGTGATATGTTAAATAATTAGGACATACTCTAGTCTCTGCGATTACTACAAGCATGTGATTTTGTTATCGTGTGTAAAAAAATTTTATCGTATAAAAATTACAAATTAAAAATTTTACTAAGAAAAATAAATATGTGTTATTATAATACATTGTTTTGTTATGGGTACGGGTGGAACCTATGTACATATATTCACACACATACACAAGCTTATGTTTTATACAGAAATACATAAATATCTACCATAATATTCAAATATTTACTGAAATGTACGTCCTGGAACATTTTGAATTTCCCGCTTCTTGCGACGTTGCCGTTACGTTTTTGTCGAACTATTATTTAATTTTTTTATTCGTAAACTAATCAGACGATCGTCACAAAACTTTTTATGCATATAGTTCATAACATTATCTATGACATATAAAAAAATTGGAGACATTCATCACGCCAATTTTTTTAAAACCGAGTTTTTATAAGTTTCCCCATAAGCGACCGTGTTAAAATGACTGAACTTTGAAATTCAATATCTCGGAAACGAAACAGACGAACCTCTTGAAATTTTAACAGCTTCATTGTAACAACAATAAGAACGTTTGGTTAAAATTTCAAAAAGATTCATCACAGGGTTCTATCTCTACCGAACGTCCTTAAATGAGAAATTACAAAAATTATTTTAATAAATAAATAATACATTTAATTCCTCGCCTTCAAATAACCATCGTTTATTTAGAAAAAGCATCATTAAAAAAGCTAAGAGAAAGGTGACTGCCATAAATGTGTTTTATCCCATGGTTGCTGTATATTATGTAGACCAGTTACCATTTGATTTTACACGTATATCTTTTGATATACACTTATCGTGACTTGGTTCACAAAACGGTGACATTCAAATTCTTGAAATTATTTATCGTATAAAACACAAAAAACCATAAACATCAATCAAAAATATAGCGATTAACAACTATCACATTAACAACTGCTTGATAAGTTTAAAACCATTTTTAATATTTATTTGTTATAGAATAATTTAAGAATTTAAATTTTGCGGTTTGCGAATCAAGCCATGGCGAGTGTACTGTTACGTAGGAAAGAAATTGGTAAAGAGGTGCGTCGCGAGAATGATCAATACTTATTTCCTTGAAGACTTTTATTAAAAATACCACATTTATAAGGCAAAGTCGCGCGTGTGTTCCCGTTCTAGGCTCGTCATGGTACGAAATCAGTAGCCGAATCCTAACTCTAGAATCACGAAGTTTGAATTTTTTATTACTTTACTATACAAATGAAAAAAATAATTACAAAACAAATGTTCATACTGGTACTCTTTGTGTCTCAGATAATATTGCTGTAATATTATATTATGGTTATAATTCTAACTTTTATTTTAACATCAAAAACTATTTGTAGCCATTTGAATGTCGTGACTCTCAAACTAAGATTCGGCTACTGCACAGTTAGTAGAACTTTACTCAGTCCTTCTATAATTTGTCGATATATAATTAATAACAGTCATAACCTATGATAACCTAGAATCTAAAAGTAACGTGATGTCAGTAACATTTATTGGCAAAGTGCATGGATAGTGATAGACCAGAGATCCACTGACTTGTAAGCTAATTCGTTAAGCACGAAATTTTTAATTCACTGATGAGAGGTTGTGGATCCAACCAATAGAAATTAAATATTTAAATTTCCCGCTTAATAAATTAGTGTCCACTGGGTACCATTGCAAAAATACGACCGGATCATCGCAGAAATAGCTCTATTGGGCTTGAATAGAACACATTTAAAAATACAGTTATAGTAGTAATAGAAGCTTATTAAGCTGTACAAAAAATAATATAAAAATACTGGAAAACTAATCAACGATACATTTTAATGTATGAAAATCCGATTTCAGAAATCTCAGCGACGATGGAGGCATGTGTGGCGCAGACCTGCGCCTCGGCAGCAACAGCCAGCTCACCTGCCTTTTTGTTCACTCAACTGATAAAGGCCCTACTGGTCGCCCAATGCTCCATAACAAGTCAGCACGACTACCCAGTAGACCGTACCCAGGAGATCCTTGATCAAAACCTGAACTTTGATTTCATAGTAGCCGGGGGTGGCTCAGCTGGTTCAGTATTGGCCAATCGCCTCACCGAAAATCCTGACTGGCGTGTCCTTCTCGTCGAACAAGGTGACGACCCTTCGCTTGCAAGCGATATTCCCGGCTTCCAGTCATTACTCCGGCGTACACACGAGGATTATAACTACAAAGTGGAGCCAAGCAAATATTTGTGTCAGGGTATGAAAAACAGGAGCTGCTCTTGGCCGGCAGGAAAGGCTCTTGGTGGTAGTTCAGTGATAAATGCGATGATTTATGTTCGAGGCACCAAACAAGATTTCGATGGCTGGAAAGATCAGGGCAACGATGACTGGGGCTACGAGGACGTACTCCCATATTTCCTCAAGATCGAGAATTATCACCCCGAGGTGGTTGCCAAGCACGGGGATAAATTTGGGACTGGAGGACCACTTACGCTCAGGCCTTACAATTACTCGGTGTCCGGGGCCCAGGATTTGCTCCTCGAAGCAGCCAAAGAGCTGGGAATACCGGTCTTGGACATGTTGAACACAGAAAAAAATATTGGATTCGGCAAGGCTTATGGTGCTTTGGAAAATGGGGTTCGTCAGAACGACGCCAAGGCCTATCTCAATCCGATTAGGGACCGGAGTAACCTGTATGTCATGAAGTCAGCTAGGGTGGATTCAGTAGTAATAGCTGGAAAAAGAGCCACCGGTGTAAAAGTAACATTGAAGAGTGGACGTCAAGTGGAGCTGAAGGCACAAAAAGAGGTAATAGTTTCATCGGGAACACTTGCTTCTCCACATATCCTTATGCTCTCAGGTATTGGACCACGAGAAGAGTTGGAGCGCCATAACATAGATGTAGTTGCCGATCTTCCAGTCGGCAAACACTTGCAGAACCACTTGATATGGATGGGAGTTTACCTGACATTCTTAAATAAAAGCGCCCAAGCTTCTAACTCGCAAGAGAATATTATATTAGACAAGACGTACGAATACTTGTTGCACCGGAAGGGAGAACTTTCTACTGGAAGTGGTACAGACCTCCTTGGGTTTGTAAACACCAAGGATCCAAATGCGAAGTATCCTAACCTCCAGTTTCATTTTGTGCCCGTACCACAGAACCAACCCATGAGAGCAGTCGAACTCGGAAAAGCCCTTAACTTTGTAGACGACTTCATCTCCGAGATGGTTCAACTCAATTCAGAGTGTGAAAGTATTATATTTGGTACGACTTTGCTACATCCCAAAAGTGAGGCACAGCTAAAACTCAAAAGTACGTATCCCGAGGATCAAATCGAGATTCATACGTCCTATTTGGATAATCAAGAGGATATCGACCTGATGCTAGAAGGACTAGACATAGCGCGCGATCTGTTAAAGACAAAACCATTCAAAGATTTGGACGCTAAGCTCCATCGTTTAAATATTGCTGGCTGTACAGCATATCCGACGGATTCTCGAGAGTACTGGGAATGCAACATGAGACATACAACTGCTACCATCTACCATCCAACGGGAAGTTGCAAAATGGGACCAAACAGTAAAGACTCAGTCGTTGATAACAATCTGAGGGTACATGGCGTTGAAGGGTTGCGTGTAATCGACGCTTCTATTATGCCAGAAATCACTAGTGCTAACATACATGCAACAGTTTTGATGATAGCAGAGAAGGGAGCGGATATGATAAAGAAAGAGTGGACGGTAAAAGCTGAGCTGTAATATTTTTATCGCTAGTACACTTTAGAGGCTCTTATTGTAACAATAAAATTATATTGTAGTCAATGGTAAAAAACAAATTGTTTCTAGACATAACGTTTTCTGTTTTTTGAACTACCCTCGTCAATGGTTTAATAGCTTGCGTCATTTATACTATACCTAATATTGCTTTGGAGATAAAAATATAAAATTAATATATTCTAAATTTTTTTGGTAAAATGTATTGTGGTATGAATAGTTATTTTTTCATAATTTGTAAACTAATTTTTTTTTTTAAAGAATTAAAGTCATTAGGTTTATATGTACATGCACTTACACATGAATTATAAACAAATCAATTTACTGACATCATTTTTATGTACATAAATGTTTAGTAAATAAAATTTTTAAATAACTTGAGTATTTATTAGTGTTATTTGCCCTACAAAATAATAATAATATAAACCGAAAGAGTTTAAAACCTGTCATAAAGTGTTGTGATGGATTCAACCTAAAATAATTATGAAATATCGTTTCTTCATTCATTAGCATTCACTGAAAGACAAAAGACAAATTACATAGCTGCTTGAACTTTTGAAGTTAGCGTGTAGGTACAAAATTTATAGTTAACATATCTGCTCCCTCTTGCTTGCCTCCTCGTGCAGCAGGCTGAGCTCACCAAGTTGTGGTGGCGTGGTGGGCAGTGAGTAGCTTCTCGGTGTCCACTATTGTCCTCTCCGTTGTTATCTGATTTACAAAATTACATGGACGTTATCTGAAGTGTTTTTCTTGAGATTTTGCACTCACCAAAATCGAACAAATATATATTATCATGCAGCTTTTTATGCTCTTTCGATTGCTGCGAACTGTTTTTCGCTACGTGTTTTCGTTCTTAGGTAATGAGCCGTTTTCGAAAAAATTTTCAAAAAAACGTCATTTTTTAAAAAAGTCCTTAATTTACAGCTTTAGACAGTAAATTTGTTTTATTTTGAAACTGCAGTCAAAAAAGAAGTAGAGAAGAAAAACGTTTACTTTTTCAGTTATTTCAGTACAGAGATATCGTATGTAACAGCTGTCAATAAAGTTTTCTAATTGTACGAAAACTTGTAAAAGTTACATCGGTCATTTTTATGGTACGCAATCAATGTCCTACACTAAAAATGTAATAACGTCATTGTTCGTGTCGAGTCCTTAAAATCCCGACGGCATTTTCACTCTGTCTCTCCACCCCTTGTCTCTTTCACGAAGTAATATCCGTCCCAAGCTCCTTGGGCTCTTTCGTTTTCGACTCCCTTGCATTTGCAAGGTCCCCCTAACATTCGTCGAGGGAAGGATCCCAAAGACGAAGGAATAAAACTAAGCGTCCGTAGTCAATTAAAGAGTCTTGAGAGGAGCTACTACTTAAAAAAGAGGGTATGGAGGAACAGAAAAATAAGAAGAGCCTGAGGAGGTAATGTGGCTGGAAGTCCGGAGGATTGAAAAGGAATTAACGAAATAAAAGGAAGAGGAGCTCTCCTGTTCCCCCCTTTGAGCCTTTACCACGCGAGAATGGAGTTACGAAGCGAGGAAAGGGTAGTGACTTTTTTTATTCCTGCCCTTGAATTTTGTGATACACTCATTCTGAGGGTAAGATATAATTAGGAGAATTAAAAGAGAAGAGTTATGATGCTTCAATTATTTAAATTAATAAAAGAGAATGTCTAAGGATGGATAATGAGGGCTACGGGCGTTTTATAGCCTAATCATCTTTAGTTGGAAATTATTATTATTTTTTTTTTTACATATCATAGCAATGCGCATGGAAATGTCTTCGATAGAGATGCACGGATTGAGAGTTTGAGGTAAGATTTTTTTTTCTTGATATCGAATTGATGTTCCTTGAATCAACTACGTTACAAAATCGTTAAATTTTCAATAAAACTCTGATCATTTCTCCTCTTTGCTCAGTTATATTGTAAAATGATGAGATAAGAGTATAGGTAGGTGAAGAGAATGACAGAAGAGCAAGAGGACATACGAGTTGCGCGTACAGTTGAGTCGAATCAAAAGAGAAATGCACGAGTTCTTGTGTATTGAATTGTGTATAGTGTCGATTTTCAATCGCGTTTCAAAATGGTGTAGTTACAGGGCAAGTTTGCAACTCGTTTGGTACCAAATGCAATTTGATGCCTTGAAACTTTTTCAATGGTCTGCTAAACCAAACGGATTCGTAACTGTGTTTTTTTTTTTATTTGAAGGTTACTCAACGAAGAACAAAGAAAGAAACGCGTGAAAAATGTTCTTCAGATGCCTGAAAATTAATTTGTATACAAAACTTTTTTTTTGTTAGAGGAATTTCTCTGCGTCGTACACAATGCAATTCAACGTTGTATACGGCAGAGCACAATGGAATTCAAATGAAACCTACCCAGTAGCACATACTTCACTGAAAAATGAAAAAAAATGCAGTATTTGAATTAGATGCATATTTTTATGGATGTGCTTTGGCTTAGTCTTCCTCTACAAGTGAACAATTGTAGCTTCTGTTACAATTTATACAAAATGAGAGAGTTAAAAAAAGAGTAGAAAAAAATGAGAGAGTTAGAGAGAGAAAGAAAAAAAACTGAGTTCCGAATTTCTACATTCTGGTATGTATTTATTAGCGCACTAACAGCAGTACAGGGCACAATGCTAAGTGGTAATATCGCTATAGGTAAGTCGAAGAAGGGCATCAGTAGAAAGATCTTACTTGCAGCACATGTCAGATCTTTAAACACATAGATACCTCTACTACTTCTTATTTTTAGTGGGACAGTTAAATACTGGGTGTTCTCACAATATTTGAGAGCTGAAGCTATACGTGAAGCTAAGGATTAGTTTTATATCAACGCAAGTCTTGACAGACTGGAATTCCGAGGCTTAAAATTTGCATACCACGCCGCAGATCGAGATATCATAATCCTTGCTGTTTTTCCCTTTGGTTCCTGATACCCATGTTTATAGGCACTAGCGTTTCTGCACGAGAGTTAAGAATAAATAAATAATTTTTCAGTGATTTTTAACTTTAAAAAAAAGAAAATGAAGCTTGTGGTAAACAAGTAGTATAGGTCGATTTTTGTCAGACTGTGGATTATGCTCTTGGACAGACAGAATATTTTTACTTTCTGTTCGATGGCGACGTATATGGTTGATGAAATTTAGTAAATTTATTTAATAAAGTGCGCAAATTTTTCTAAACGAAATCTCTTAATTAGTATTTCTCAAGAGATGATTAGCTAAGCACTTGAGGACCATAAAGTATCACGACTAAAAATGGAGAAGGAAAAGAGATTTTTATGATAGTATAAAAATGTGCGTGTTTACGACCGAACGACAGGAAATCTCGTTTAGGACCTCGTAATGCGATTACAGCACTTGCACCTCCCCAGAGGAAAAGGGGCATCGTTTCTCTCCGTCCCTTTTTGTGTGCGTGACACACAAACGCAGAACAGCAAACGCAACTGGGGCCAAGTTCAGATTTATGATCTGCATCAGAAACACAACGACGAGAGAGCCACTTCGCTCTCAACCTTTTTTCTTTCCATCTCCGCTGGCAGAGACTCTTGACGAGCGCGTGTATACGGTAGCGAGAAACTACGACGACAGTCCGCGAAATGAGCGAAGAACATCTGTCAGTTGTCGCCCTCTGCCCCTGTGGGGTGGGTGTGGGGGAAAAATTGAGGAGGTTCTCGGCTGCCGCTGCTGAAGAAAAATGGGAAACGCAGGGACTATCTCGTGTATATTTTTGGGATTTCTTTTATACTCGAGAACATAACGACGTATAATACACAAGGAAGATGTATGAGGGCGAAGGAGATCCAGGCAGGATGAAGGGAGGGGAGGGTGAATACGACGACACGGCGACGAGATATTCCGTTTCCACGACGATGAATGAGGAATTTCTTATGGCCGATACTCAAGCCTCTTTGTCCCAGATGGGCAAATATTTGAATTTCGCTTCATAAGCATCTAATTTCGCGGGATAAGACTCTTGGCTTTCCCTACTATACGCGAAAACAATGTCTGAGTGAGTCTCTTGGCTACGGTGACGTATGAATTTCCTCTACTTATGCCCGTCAGTCTAGGCTGAGACACTTTTTCGGTACCTTTAAAACCCTACATCGTGAAACTCAAGAAACTTCCAACAAGACTCGCGAAACTGAAAGCTCCCATTTACCTAAAATATCTCTAGTAAAAATCTGTAATTAACAACTTTACTCTAGGTACGGCCGCCCGATTTTAACAGCCTCCAAAGATTTGAGAAAACGAGGTGTGATAACAGTAACAGTCCCACCGATTGCTCATAAAATCGTGGACGTGGAAAACTCATTAAAGCCAATCTCGAAATACATCGGGGGAGTTAGATTTACGTCTAAGATACACTCCTGCATTTTCTACGGACAACGTAAACTGCCTTTGTCAAGATGAGAGATGGGAAGGGGGACGGAGAGGCTGCGTGACGCGCTATAACTCGATGGTTTTAATTTCGAGCGCCAGTCGTGACATGATAACTGGGTAGAGATTAGCACCCCATTCCATCCAAAGAAAGTTTTGAGCTAATGATGGCCATGTTCTAAGCCAAGAGGCGTATAAACTAGATCTTTATTTGAAAAATTGAATTTTAAATAGTTTTGTTATTAAAATTTAATAATTCTGGATTTTGAGGTTACGGGATTAACTTTTTAAAATTTCTTGAAATACCTATCGAGGAAGAATTGTCTTTTTAAAACACTATATTATGATGGACAAGACATTTTCCTGATGAAGAACAAATAATTGTATTTTCACGAGTTCCAATGGAAAAGTTATTTCTCCTTACACTTTAGAGTGTTTCGTTTACGTTACTTAAAAAAAAAAAAAAAAATAAGTAAATGCGAGAGAGACAATTTAAAAGTAATAGAATATTCTAAACATACGTTATTGCCGAGATACATAAGCTCACGGACGAGATAATCTCCCCAGCTCAGTTTCAATAATTCTGTAAAGCAAACTACAAGCAGACGCAGCAACGGCAGTAGCAGCTCTGATACTCTGAGCTAACGAAAAAGAGACAAATGTTGCAAGTAAGTGATAAATCTTTCCCTCATTAAAATGTTGGGAATGCAAGGTACATCCAGATTTTTGAGTGGCTCCCTTACTTTCGATGTACGTCGTCTGAGTGTTTATTAAGCAGGAGATATCATACAAGAGTTCCTTATGGTGATTAGAGTTTTAAAAATAGGAGAG